CAATAAATGTAGGAGTAACTAATCATAGTGGATCTAGAAAGTTTTCGTTGGGAGATCAATTTAATTTCCTTATTTACGCATCTTTTATAAGCAAAGAGTTCAAGAATAATGAATCAAAGATGGTGGTTAGAAACGAGTTTAATAATATTATTTTTTATCTTCCAATTTTCATTTGGTATCACCTCTTTCGACTTATTTTGGAGATATGCCCTTTACTAGTCGAAGTAGGTCCTGGATACAGTGTCAAAGTATTCATAACAAACATCACAACATATTTTTAGAATGAAAAATCGTAAAACAACGATTTAAGTGCCAAAAATGGCCGCTACAAATGGATTTAATAAGAATTATTCTTGTTGTACATTGGGGTGTACATAAGGGTGTCCATAATGGACATCCGACACCCCCTATTGGATGGAGTGCCGGCCCCACTGGTACTCCATCCAATAAGGAGATGCCGGGTGTCCATTATGGATATCCTTATGTACACCATGATATACTTGTAGCAAAGCTCATTTAATAAATGGATTTTTTTTCCTTTCAAGTCCTATATTTATGCATAACCTTTTTCGACTTACTTTTGAGCTATAATATTCTTCATTCATTGGGGTAGGTTATGGAATTTGTTTTAAAATATTCATGACAATCTTTGAAATACATTTTTTGAATTGAAAAGTCAATAAACAACGAGTTCAAAATAACATGTCAAAGATGACTATAGGAATTGAATGTAAATTTAACACTACAAGAAAATACTAAAATCGCGAAAAAAAAATGTTGTCACATAAATAGAGATTTTGTTGCAAAAATAATTTTATGACTAAATTTTTTTTTTTTTAAGCGTTGTCACACTATTATGAATCACGGAATGTATTCTACGACATCTTTCGTTCATTCATCGCATTAACAAACTCAGAATGATATTTGTTTGATGCAGAAAATATGAAATAACAAAAAAATATTTCTCGTCCTAATGTCGTCACAAACCATATATATGGCGAAAAATCAAGAAGGCAACAAGTCAGTTTGTCGCAACGATTATTCCAATAAAGTTTTTGCGAGAAAGATGTTTGTTAAAGGTATAACTTTTGTTACCTATTTTATTTTGTAACAACACATATTCGTAGTGATATATCTTTAATAACAAGTCATGTTTGTCGCGTTTTATATGTTAACATAATATATTTTAAGATATTCAACATTTTTGAGTGAATTGTTTCAAAAACTGAACTTATACCATCGTCACGGATTGTTCATCGAACTTCATTTTGCTTCACAGTACTCACTCAACTTTGCCATTTAGCTCTCCATCCACTACTGTCAAAAAATCCATTTGTTGGGTGCTAACATAGCAGACGGAATTCATTGGTGGCATCTGACGGCCGTTAAAAAATTATAAATCAGCAAAATCATTGTTTCATCACTCATCCAACGTACACTATGTCACAGTTTACTCATC